ACCGACACTCGTACGTAAGTTAAATTAATTAAAATAAGTAATAATTAAACCTAAACTAAACTACACACTACTACTACAGAAGAATAGTAATAATATATATATATATATATATATATATACACACACACACACACACACACACACACACATTCTGTTTAGTGTTTTCTTTTTATACAAAAAGAACTAACTAGATAATCAATACTAAATGAAACATATACTTGTGGTTTATTATATGGCTCATATAAATTACCAGTTTATCAGAAAATGTTCCTTCTGCTAAATCATATTTAGTTTATTGGGCTTCGAGTACTCAGAAATACCAAAATAAGAAATGTATATTTAACAATAAACGTACCAACATAGAAAATGTAATCATAGACATCCTTCAGGGTTTCTACAGAACCATCTACTTTCTCTGATGTTGCCTCATCATCTGTATGGGAAACCCACTTAGAGTAATTGTTGTCGAAGATCGGGTTTCTTATCTTGAAAAACAATATATATATATGAAATAAATTCTAAGAAAAAGCTCTAATGCACAATTTTGAACATATGTTTTCATGAAACGTATCTATGCCAACATATTTTTCTGGTTGCAGACACAGGGACTTGTAATAATATATTGCATGTATCACTCATTTTAAGCCTCAAACTGTCAGAAACATTAACTAAAGTATGTGAAGTATGGCAGTGAAGTGCCAATAATGCTTTAAAGGAATCTCATTTGGTACAAACAAAATTCCTTGTGAAAAGTTATTTCAATTGAATATCTTTGAAACAAATATTTCTTTCCGATTCCTAGCTAAAATCTATTTGTGATTATATTATGGAATTAAAAACTGAGATTTGTGGCATTTTGTAAACATAACCAGAATTAATATTAAACTTTAGGTCTATCAAAGTCACTGAATAAACTCTTAATCTGAGAGAAATAGAATTTGATGTTTTTCCAAGCTGGTTTCAATGACCTGATTTAAGAAGGACAACTAAAATCATAACTGATTCACAGATTACTTTAATGTGTCCAAAATTTAGGACAAATTAGAGGGTGGATAGTTCTTAACTCAAAGAAATGAGGTGTAGTCACAAGTAGAAGTTACCCAAGTCAATGTCCAGAGAACAACAAATTAAAGGATTGACTGTTCTCAACTGTAAGAAAACCAGTGTTGTCACAAGCACAAGTTACCCAGCATACCTCTGGTAAACTGAAACAGTTTCAAGAATCAGAGTAAACAACTAATGTTCTGTAAAACAAAAGTTATATCAATATTTTCTGCCCTGTGGGTTGCTGACCAAAAATGTCTTAGGTTTTATTACGTTTCACTTTTATAGTATAACCTAACTATCTCTTACCTTCTTGAGGATTGGAGGTATAGGTGTTTCAAAGATGTCTTTCCATTCTACTTTACTATGAAGGGTATAAAAAAATCATTTTCATAATTCATTTGTATCTTTTAGCTTTTAAGAATAAGGCTAAGAGTTCAGACTAGTACACTCACACTAACTAAAAGTTACAGCAGTACCTTAGTTGCACTAGCCATAAATCAAATGGCTAGCACAATTAAGCTACTGCTGTAAATTTAATTTAATTTTGGGATTAAATTAATATGTTCTTGTTCAAAAGAAATACCAACTAGTTTACAATTTTTAAACTTTTTTTAAATAATACACGTTTGATTTTATGAAGTTAATAATACACTTTTCCAAGTTCCTTTTTTTACTGAACAAAAGAAAAAAATTACTAAGAACTTTACCCCAAAACAAAAATGTCTATACAAATTTTAAAAATGTACTATACATGAAAAAAAGAAAAATGTTAATTCACTTAGTCATAGGTTTCCCTAAATCTATCGAGGTTATAAAAACTTAAGTAAGATATACTTAACTCACCTTGGCTTAGGCTTTCCAGATTCTGTTGATGCTATGAAAGCTTGTAGGAAAGGGTCTAGATGCTGTCCTTTCTGGAAATAAAAAAAATAAACTAAGTATAACACATATAGTTTGAAAAGGTTCATAAATTATCCTAATCAAAACAATAATACTTTGAAATTCTCATTTAACAAGAAAACATTAAAATGTTGAATAGATAAAATATCATAACAAGCTTTATTAAGGTTCCTCTCTAGACTAGGGATTTAATATTATGTAAAGGACGAAGTCATTTATGGACCCAAAATTAACTGTGTACCTTTCACTGATTTTAGAATAGGGCTTAAATAGTTTAAAAGTTCACAAGTTTATTCTCTGGAATCAAAAATGGTAAAATCATCATCAACATATGTACCTTGTAGATCCTCTTATTTACAAAAGGTATGGTAACAATACTTTCAGTCTTTTCATTGTTTAATTTTTCCAAATGTCTGCCATTTTGGATTTATGATGTCATAAACATTACCTTATCCTTTAATAAGAATCATTTCTCAGATTGGATAGTGTATGAATACTTTTCATTGAAACATTATTGTTTTGTTCTGATCCAAAGAAATAAAATAAATGACATCCATACTTTTTATGAGTTGACTTACCTGAGAAAAATCAGTTAAAAAGTTGAATAAAATGGACGGTCATGTGATGTATTAAAACGTTAAATAAAATGATTAAACATTAGTGTTGACTAAAGATAATTTCCTAAAGTAATCATAAGAGATCATCTGATGTAATAAAATTAATTTGAAAAAACTAAATATGGGCCTGGTACTTTTTTTATGAGTACAAATACTATTACTTCTCCAAATCATATTGACTGAAGGGATAATGCTTGATCAATTAAGCTGCAATTTCTACTATCTTAGGAAGACAATATAAAGACTTGTTAACTGTTTAGGATGTATGCATGAATGGCAAATAATGAGATAGAGCACATGATCTCTTCATGATTGCTCACTGTGGAATTTTCTTATGTAGTATGTCAATTTATACATTTCCAAGGCTGGAATATTTCATTTTATATTGCACAATCTTACAGTTTTATGTTAATGAGGTAGTAGTTTTATTACTTTAATATAGATCTATTTTGAACAGTAATATAATACCGTTATCTATTAGTAATGATCATAACCTATTTTTTAAAAGGGAATTTTTAAATACTCTATACAGTGCATAACATAAGAAGTAAACCACAGATCCAATGTGTGCACAAGCACCTACTGAACTTGTACAATACCAGCTCTTGATTACTTTTGATGAATCTGTTCTTGCAGAGGAATCAGAAGGAACAAAAGTGGAATGAGTGTCAGTTGTGTTTTTGTGGTACAGATGTAGAAGGTGATTCTTGTAGAAACAGTTAATCCAACATTAGTATCAACCTATTACTGGGAGAAAGTGCTATATATATATATACACTGAGTGGTCA